TAATTGTTCTACTTATCATCAGTCTTCTAACTATAATTGTTATTCCCAAAGGGACGGGGGCCTTTGGGGAATTGAAGATTGGTTTTTGCAAACTATTCTACTTAGCATACCTCTTCTAACTAGTTCTCTCATGAGTTCCAACGGGACGGGTGCCTTCTGGGGAACTCAAGAGTCCTGATTGCTAATTGTTCTACTTATCATCAGTCTCTAAGTGCACTTGTTTTCCCAAAGGGACGGGTGCCTCTCGGGATGGAATATTCATGTTTGCTAACTACTCTGCTTATCATAACTCTTCTAGTTCTTCTCCCAAGGGACGGGTCACTCTTGGGGAAGTCCAAATTAATTGTTGTTCTAAACATTGTGTGTCTTATACTTGTTCTCAGTGTTCGAACCACTGCCAAAGGGGCGGGTGCCTTTTTGGGAATTCAAGAGTCCTGTTTGCTAATTATCATCAGTCTTCTAATCATAATTGTTATTCCCAGAGGGACGGGTGCCTTTGGGGAATTGAAGATTGTTTTTGCAAATTATACTACTTAGCACACCTCTTCTAAGTATTCTCTCATGAGTTCCAAAGGGATGACTTGGGGGAATTCAATAATATTCATGTTTGCTGGTTGTTTTGTAAATTATTATACTTATCATAACTCTTCTAATTCGTTCTTATCATTCTTCCCAAAGGGACGGGTGTCTTTTGGGAAGTCAATTTTCTAATCATTTTAGTTCTTAGACTTGCTCTAAGTATTCCAACCACTGCCAAAGAGGCGGGTGGCTTGTTGGGAATTCAAGAGTCCTCTGTGCTAATTGTTCTACTTATCATCAGTCTTCTAAATATAATTGTTTTTCCTGAAGGGGCGGGTGCCTTTGTGGAATTGAAGATGGCTGTTGTGCAAATTATACTACTTAGCATACCTCTTCTAATTAGGTTTCTCTTTATTTTGAAATGGACGGGTGACTGTTACATTGGTGGAATTCCAAATTTATGTTTGCGCTAATCATTGTGCGTCTTATAATTGCTCTAAGTATTCGATCCACCCCCAAAGGGACGGGTGCCGTTTGGGAAATTCAAAAGTCCTGTGTGCTAAGTATTCTACTTGTAAACCGTCCTCTAAATACAAATGCTAGTCTCAAAGGGACGGGTGCGTTTGGGGAATTAAAGATTGATTTTGCAAATAATAATACTTCTCATAACTCTTCCAATTAATTCTTCTCATTACTCCCAACGGGTGCCTCTTGGGGACTTCCAGATTCATGCTTGTTCTCATCATTCTACGTCTTTTCATTGCTCTAAGTATTCGAACCACTCCCAAAGGGACAGGCGTCTTTTGGGGAATTGAAGAGACCTGTTTGCTAAACAGTCTACGTATCATCAGTCTTCTAAATATAATTGTTTTTCCCAAAGGGACGGGTGCCTTTGGGGAATTGAAGATTGTGTTGCGCAAATTATTCTACTTATTCCGAGCTCGTCTAGTTAATTATTCTCATTATTCCCAAAGGGGCGGGTGCTTTTGGGGACTTGCAGATTCATGTTTGTTCTAATCATTCTAAGTCTTTTAATTGCTCTAAGTATGCGGACCACTCCCAAAGGGACGGGCGCTTTTTTTGGAATTCCAGGCCAGTCTTTCACCAAGGGACGGGAGCAGTTGGCGAATTCCAGAATCATGTGTTTTCTAATCATCCTTCGTCTTCTTCCCAAAGGGACGGTTGCCTTTTGTGGAGTTTCAGATTCAAATTTGCTCTAGTTATTCTACTTTTTACAACAATAATCATTCTCTAACTTGTTCCAAAGAGGGGTACCTTTTTGGGAAATCCAGCATACATATTTGATAAAGTTATTCGAATCATTCAAACAACTCGAACAATTCTAATGGTTCTGGATACTTTCAATTGGCCGGGTGCCATTTGGGGAAGTCCAGATTCATGTTGCGCTAATCATTCTACTTCCCTAGTTATTCAAATTTATTGATTTCTTCTTAAAGAAAGGGTGCCTTTTGGGGAAACCAGATTCATGCTTCTTGTAACTTGTTTTTGTGGATTTCCAGGCTCTTCTGTGTTCCCAACGGCACGGGTCCCTTCTGGGGAATTTCAGATTAATGGTTGCTCCCATGATCCCAATTATGTTCTTCCTTCTATGTATTCCCAAAGGGACGGGTGACGCGCGCCTTTTGAGGAATTCCAATTCCAGAGTCATGTGTGTGTGTTCCAATTATTCCTATCTACTCAAATTATTCTAACTATTCTTAAAGGATCGTGTACTTCTTGAGGAATTCAAGATCTTATACTTATTATACGTGTTTTGCTTTTGCTTTTTCAAAGTACTCAAATTCTTCTAAGGTGAATTCCAATAACTCCAAAAATTGCAATAGTTGGGGGTCCCGGATTTTGCAATTAATTATTGCAATTATTGAAAGTCAGTTGCAATTGTTGCAAATATTGGAATTAGTTGGCCTGGATTGGGGCCAAATGTGGGATCAATTCATATCTACAATGGAAGTATTGGAATTCAACTCCAATGATTGCAATAATTGTAATATTTGAAGGTCCCGGATTTTGGAATTATTGCAAATAGTGGAATTGAATTCCAATAATTGCAATAATTGAAATATTCGGAGGTCCCGGATTTTGCAATTATTGCAATTATTGGAATTGAATTCCAATAATTGCAATATTTGCAATATTTGGAGGTCCCGGATTTTGCAATTATTGGAATTAGTCGGCCCGGCTTTGAGGCCAAATCTGGGATCAATTAAGTATTGCAATTATTGCAATTATTGCAATTATTGCAATTATTGGAATTGAATTCCAATAATTGCAATAAATGCAATATTTGGAGGTCCCGGATTTTGCAATTATTGGAATTGAATTCCAATAATTGCAATAATTGCAATATTCGGAGGCCCCGGATTTTGCAATTATTGCAATTGTTGGAATTGAATTCCAATAATTGCAATAATTGCAATTTGGAGGTCCCGGGTTTTGCAATTATTGCAATTATTGGAATTGAATTCCCATAATTGCAATAATTGCAATATTCGGAGGTCCCGGATTTTGCAATTATTGCAATTATTGGAATTCAATTCCAATAATTACAATCAATAATTTCAGGTCCCAGATTTTGCAATTATTGCATTTATTGGAATTCAATTCCAATAATTGCAATAATTGCAATAATTTCAGGTCCCGGATTTTGCAATTATTGCAATTATTGGTATTGAATTCCAATAATTGCAATAATTGCAATATTTTCAGGTCCCGGATTTTGCAACTATTGGAATTAGTCGGACCGGCTTTGAGGCCAAATCTGGGATCAATTAATTATTGCAATTATTGCAATTATTGCAATTATTGCAATTATTGGAATTCAATTCCAATAATTGCAATAATTGCAATAATTGGAGGTCCCGGATTTTGCAATTATTGCAATTATTGGAATTCAATTCCAATAATTGCAATAATTGCAATAATTTCAGGTCCCGGATTTTGCAATTATTGCAATTATTGGAATTAGTCGGCCCGGCTTTGAGGCCAAATCTGGGATCAATTAAGTATTGCAATTATTGCAATTATTGCAATTATTGCAATTATTGGAATTGAATTCCAATAATTGCAATAATTGCAATATTCGGAGGCCCCGGATTTTGCAATTATTGCAAGTATTGGAATTGAATTCCAATAATTGCAATAATTGCAATAATTGCAATAATTTCAGGTCCCGGATTTTGCAATTATTGCAATTATTGGAATTGAATTCCAATAATTGCAATAATTGCAATATTCGGAGGTCCCGGATTTTGCAATTATTGCAATTATTGGAATTAGTTGGCCCGGCTTTGAGGCCAAATCTGGGATCAATTAATTATTGCAATTATTGCAATTATTGCAATTATTGCAATTATTGCAATTATTGCAAATATTGGAATTCAATTCCAATAATTGCAATAATTGCAATATCCGGGACCTGAAATTATTGCAATTATTGCAATTATTGGAATTGAATTCCAATAATTGCAAAATCCGGGACCTGAAATTATTGCAATTATTGCAATTATTAGAATTCAATTCCAATAATTGCAATAATTGCAAAATCCGGGACCTCCAATTATTGCAATTATTGCAATTATTGGAATTGAATTCCAATAATTGCAATAATTGCAAAATCCGGGACCTGAAATCATTGCAATTATTGCAATTATTGGAATTGAATTCCAATAATTGCAATAATTGCAATAATTGCAATAATTGCAATAATTAATTGATCCCAGATTTGGCCTCAAAGCCGAACCAAATAATTCCAATAATTGCAATAATTGCAAAATCCGGGACCTCAGAATATTGCAATTATTGCAATTATTGGAATTCAATTCCAATAATTGCAATAATTGCAAAATCCGGGACCTGAAATTATTGCAATTATTGCAATTATTGGAATTCAATTCCAATAATTGCAATAATTGCAATAATTGCAATAATTGCAATAATTAATTGATCCCAGATTTGGCCTCAAAGCCGGGCCGAATAATTCCAATAATTGCAATAATTGCAAAATCCGAGACCTCCAATTATTGCAATTATTGCAATTATTGGAATTCAATTCCAATAATTGCAATAATTGCAAAATCCGGGACCTCCGAATATTGCAATTATTGTAATTATTGGAATTGAATTCCAATAATTGCAATAATTGCAAAATCCGGGACCTGAAATTATTGCAATTATTGCAATTATTGGAATTCAATTCCAATAATTGCAATAATTGCAATAATTGCAATAATTGCAATAATTAATTGATCCCAGATTTGGCCTCAAAGCCGGTCCGACTAATTCCAATAATTGCAAAATCCGGGACCTGAAATTATTGCAATGATTGGAATTCAATTCCAATAATTGCAATAATTGCAAAATCATTATAATTTCACTTCAACAATTCACTCAAAGCTGGAGCCAGCCTGAACGACACATAGGGTATGATCTTCCCTCTTACGGGGGGGGGGGCGCAAGTAGGACTAGTGCGGCGAGTGCGAAGCGCTGTTGGCTGTTGCACGGGACTTGAAATTCATGCCTCCTGCGACTCCCACGGTTTGTGCACTGCACATGTCTCGCGAACAGTGCCCTGATGACCATGAGTTTTGCGGGCATTGTCGGACTCCCACAGCTGCAAACCGTCAAAAGCGTCAAAAGCCAGTGACCATAGACTTTCAAGGCGTCTGCAGTTTGGGTGCCTGCATTCCAAGGGCATTGGCGTCTCGGCGATTTGGCGGTCCATTTCGTGTGCCATAGAGAGACACCTTGCGTGCGAAGCACCTCGCGCCACCGCGCGCTCTGCTTCGCGCAGGTCCCGTCAGCGCCGCGGAGCTGGGCGAAGTCCCCGACAAAGACCAGAGCTGGGCGCCGGCCAGCGGCGTCCCAGAGGCGCAGCAACCGCTCGAAGATCCAGAGCGGAACCTGGCCCACCTCGTCGATGACGACCAGGTCGTAGACGAGCATCATCTCCAGCGTTTGCAGCTCCGCCTTGAAGAGGGAGAACATCCCGTGGATCGTATCCACATCCAGGTCGGGGAAGCGGCGCCGGTAGCGCGCAGCCAGCATGCCAGTTGGGCAGGCCACGCCAACATGTGCCCCGGCTTGGACCGCCTGCGCGATCGCGAGCTCCACTGCGCTCGTCTTGCCGCTGCCGGCGGGCCCGAGAACCGCGAAGACGCGGTTGGCGCGGCCGCCCTGCGCCGCCAGCCAGTGCTCCCAGGCAGCCGGGTCGGCGCCGTCGTCGGGCCACTTGGCCGCAACCGCCGCGGCAGCCGCGGCAACCACGTTGCGCCGGGCCAGCTCCTGCTCGGGCGCCAGCTGCGCCGGGTCCAGGAAGCCATCAGCGGCCGCGGCCGCGTCGGGCACACGGTCGTCCTCCACGCGCAGCTCCCCAAGCAAGTGCGTCCACAAGCTCGATCCTGGCCGCCAGCATGTCCAGCGCGTTCCGGATGTAGGTCTCGGCCCGGGCCTCCAGCTCCAGGTCGGCGCGAACGCGGGCCGGGCTGCGCCAGTAGGCAGGCTTGTGCAGCAGGCGCAGCGCCAGGAACCGCAGCCGCTCCGGCACGCGCAGCGCGCGGCGGAGCCACAGGTCATCCAGCGCCAAGAAGGGGACGTTGAGCAACAGCCACTGCCCGCAGTACTCGTCGCCCAGCACCTCCCCCGACTCGGCGCAGACATTGATCCACTCTTCAAGCGGGGCCTCGACGCGCAGGTGCTTGTGGATGCGGCGGTAGCGCTGCTGGATCTGCCCGTCGGGGCCAGCCTTGCGCAAGAACTCAAGGCAGGTCTCGCCGGCGCCCGCCAGGTGCAGGTCATGTAGTTGGCGAGCCACTTGGGCAGCGGCAGGCCGCCCCGGTCGCGCCACGGCAGCGGCACGCTGATCTTTCTGACGACGGCTTTTGTCAGAAATTGGGGCAGCTGCTGCGCCGCCAATTGCAGCACCATTTCTGGCTGCAGCGGATGATAGTCCGCCAGGATGCGCCGCGCCAGCGCGAAGGCCTGGTCGTTCAGCAGGTCGCCAAAGAAAGCCTCCGCCGGCCGCCAGCGACAACAGCGAGCGAACAAGCAGCCAGGTCCTGACAAGACCACGAGGTCGAAGCGGACGTCGAACGACACGCGTTGAAACATTAAACTAGCCCAACAGCAAGAACAACGCAAGGGCGAAGCAACAACGGCGGCGGCGGCGGCGGCGGCGGCGGCGGCGGCG